CACACACAAAATCAAATTGTATGTGGAAAAGATATCGTTATCTTTTCATTTCTGCCATAGGAGCAGACATTTAAGGATTTTTGGTGGTGCTAGCCCCCCCAACAAAATATTATTTTAATATTAAAGAGCAAGTTCTGGCAGGCTTTGATGTGCCTGTTAAAGTTAGAGTTTCTCCCTTGAAGATAATAGCTGTTGTGGTCAGCTCAAATGTGTGTTACTTACAAAAGTAAGTTCGCCACTAATTGTCTAAAATAAGTTTCTTTGACATGGCTCTCAGGCTTTTGGTTAGCACACTTATATATGCCAACACACACACAACAATCCATAATAAAACACTGCACACGTCTCCCTCTACCGAAGCTAATCCCCCCTTCATCTGACATTAAGCCAAAGGATGGAAGGATGAAGAGGTGAGCAGGGGATGAGACAGGGAGGACAAAAGAATAAATAGGCAGAGACATTTAAAAAAGAAAATAAAAGAGAACAATGGTATTTGCCCTGTTCACCTTTGACTTGTCTGGGCTATTAGTGGTGGTGCATATCTGAAATGGAGTGACTGCAGAATTAGTTTTTGTTTTTTTTAGACTTTAGACTTAATTATCTCTCGAGGGAAATTCCTCTCCACAGCACTGTAAACAACAGACAACGATACATACAGCAGCAGAAAATAAACAACACAAAATGAAAGACAACTGTGGTGAGGTGGTGATTCAGAGGATGTGTGATTTCCTGTTCTATTGAGGTTGCAATGTGTAAAAAGGCCTTCATGTTTACCTTTACAAGGTTCGGGGCAGGGAAATATCTTGGAATGCATCGGCTATCGGTCATACAATATTAAACCTCTGGGTGCAGGGGATATGTTTTTGGTGTTCTGGTGAAGCCAGTGGATATCAATGCCATGTGCTTTACTGTTGTTTACAGTCTGATTAGCAACTTGAAGCAATAAGGGAGTTGGAGTTCAGAAACCACTTCTATGAAAAGATTGTATAAATAGAAGCCAGTTTACAAGATCATTTTTAATCTAATGAAAGCTGTGTCATTGTCAGATAGCTAATGGGGTCTGTGATTGCATTTAGGCTAGTGCCTTCTGCCTCTTTTGCTCTCTGCATTGACTGTTTGCTTGCATTTAAAGAAAGCCCACTCAAACATGTTCAAATATTGTCCCCTTGCACATTTGGGGACTAATTATCCTGCAACCCCTGTGTTGGTTATGCGTGTTACTTTAGCACGATGGCAGCGGATAAGACAGGATTTTAACTTTCAACTTTTACCCACATTTCTCATCTAAAAAACTTTTAACACTAGCAGTTTTCATTAAAAGCAAATGTCTTACACCCACACTCCATCTGAGTCATTCTACTGTAGATCAAAATGAAACCAAGGTTGAAGAATTAATAAAAAGGTATTTGCACACGTATTCCACACAGGCTTGCATGAATACAAGGATTTAAGGAAATGTCCAATTCTTATCATGTCCTTTCATCCTAGGAACAAGCGAGATACTCAATTTGATTCTAGTATGTGTATGTCATTACTCGATTCATCTTTTTCCTACTCTGTTAGCCAAAGTCTTCCTATCATAGATGAAACAGACTGTCGTTTAAAACAGTACCTGAGGAGGTATTTTATTCAAAAAATAAGTATGGCTTCAATCAGACACACACACACACACACACACACACACACACACACACACACACACACACACACACACACACACACACACACACACACACACACACACACACACACACACACACACACACACACACACACACACACACAATCATCAGGACCACACCAATTCTGGGAAACCCGCCCGTTTGGGCCAAAACCAGAAGCTATATTATAACAGCATGTTTGTGTGAGTGTGTGTATTAAAAAGAGAGAGAATAACATAGCATATACAGTATGTCTCTAAAATATGCCTTGTTTGTGTGAAATCAAAACAAAGTTTGTGAAGCTGTGTAGTGAAAGGCACATTCCTTAATGGATGAAAAAAATATACTATATTAAAGGGACTTTTCACTAAAACAAAAATGTCCTTTTTGCCTGAGTGGCATATTGTGATTCCCATAGTCTTTTCAAGGTATCTGTCTTAAAGATGTGACAGTCATGAGAACTGTTGAAACTGCATTCTGTGGAATAACAGGCCTCGGAAGAGGTCTGCCCTCTTCACCTATATTTTTCAGAGTTCAAATGTTTTCCTCAGACATACAGTATACAATAATATTGAAAAATTCATTTTTATGACGTTGTTAAATACAAATACAGTGCAGCTGTATATCAACCACCATTTTGTTGCATTGATCAAGTTAAGGTTGGATATACATAAACCATTTAGAAAATGCAGCGTAGATCAGTTGTCATACCACAACACGAACCATCATCATTATAATTGAAGCCAGTCTCAACTCAAAGAAGCCTCAGACACCTGCCATGTAGAGTTAGTTTACCATGGGATTAGGCATTGACTATATTGATCTGCTTCTCCCAAGATCACCTTGTTAGACAAATGAAAACTACACTTTTCTGTCACGTAACATGTCTTTCAGAGTATTATTTATCAAGCAATATCGATATAAAATCGTATTCGAAATATTCAGAAATCATATTTTCTACAGTGCTGAGGTGTCCTTACACCAACGTATACTGTGTAGAGCCCTGTTCAAGGGAACTTCAGAAATTACAACAGGTCTATGAATGATGGAGATCAAACCAGCGCCTTTTAATTTAATGGTAAACTTTCTTGCCGAAAGACAAACCTGCCGTCCCCATATGCACATACACACACTAGACATTAAGGTTACACTGCAATACATCTATTAACTGTGGAGTCTCTTCAGGGAATACAAGACTAATGCAAGATCATTCAAGCAGGAATATGCTGCAACACACACACGCGCACACATACGCACACAGAACATCTTCTTCCCATTGAATAGGCAAGGCAAGGCAAGTTTATTTATATAGCACCTTTCAACACAAGGCAATTCAAAGTGCTTAAAGACATTAAGAAACATATTATGAAATGGCATTTAAAAACACTAATTTAAAAGCAAAGATATAAAATGGCATTTAAAAACACTTATTTAAAAGCAAAGATAATAAAACATGGATAAAAAAGGAACATGAATAAAAGTTACAGTGCAGTGTGAGATACACACATCTGAAATGTTTAGGTCTGCATTGCTAACTTTTTTAGCAGAAGTAGTTTTCTATGACCTCACTTTCTTTCTACTTCCTTTTTTAACTTATCCTTGAGTTATTTCAAGTGTTTCATGCTAAAGGAACCCCCCTTTGGAAAATTCTAATCTGATCCCATGGTACCTTTTAGTTTTCGCCGAAACTATTCCTCTTTTTTAAATGCACATTAGTTAAGTTGATCTTGTCTTTCTAGGACAATCTTCTGCGAACCAGGGTCTTGAAACCAAAACGGATTCCTGTACCCCATGGTACCTTTTAGTTTTTACCCACATTACGAATAGTATACGGGAATGGAAAAGCAGTATCTGTACATCCACAAAACTAATATGTTATATACAGTATGAAGAAGTATATTAAGGATAAAAACAGACATAGAGCAGAGAGAAGTACTCCAAGTACTTTTAATATTTTGTTTGGTGCTTTAATATACTCTAGCATTATTACTTTTCAGTGTATTTAGCAGATTTAATCTATATCTTACCTAATGTTCCACTTGTTCTGCCCTTTTGTTTGTGTGTGTGTGTGTGTGTGTGTGTGTGTGTGTGTGTGTGTGTGTGTGTGTGTGTGTGTGTGTGTGTGTGTGTGTGTGTGTGTGTGTGTGTGTGTGTGTGTTCATGACCGGCATTAATGGCATATGATACATCTGTGCCCACCAGCGATCTTTATGTGTACTTAGAAATTCACTCCTCGGGTGCATTGTGCCTTTGAAGCTCACCAGGGTGGTCTAATAGCTTTTAATTATAATTAATTTCCCCTCTCTATTAATAACCTATATCATTCCCTAAGTGGTTCAGAGATTTAAAGGTGCTGCTTTACTCATTAGCCAATTGCTGGGTAATGGGATGGCTTTTGCTGAGTCAGCAAGAACCTAAAGTTGGCAAGTTCAGCCAGTCAAAATAACTCTTAGTTAGATGTGATGAAACACGTGGACATGGTTGACAAGAAAGGAGAGTAAAGGTGAGGAGCTACAGTAGGTATGAGGCAATGAGTGACCAAAACAGAAGATGATATGGGCGATGAACACATATTGCTGCAAATATTGCATGTAAACCCTTGAGATGTTATAATTGATAAAATACTCCCAAATGTTACCACTGTCGGAAATGCCTTTGGCTTACACAATCCTTCCTATTTAATGATTCCCGGCAATTCATTTCACATTATCAGAATCCTCAACAAGTGCTATCATGTCCTCTGTGTTGTGTTAAAGGAGTTGGTTTATAAAGTGGGTGATTTGAAGAAGAAAAACAATATCAGTGTCGGAACAGACAGATGGGCGATTGCATTCACTGTATTCATTTAGATTAAATTAATCTAAAATAGTCAACATTGCACCTTGCAGTGTATATGAATATAGGACTAATAAGTGGAATGCAATGGCCTCCCTTCTGTCATTAGTGAAGTCATGCCAGCTGTTTCCTCAGCTCTCTGTGTAATGACTACCAGGGAAAAGCTCACTCCAGAGACTTCCGCTCTCCAGAGTTGAGCTGTAGTGAACCTCCCTGTGCTGTCCTCTGAGGGTTTCCTTTAAAAAGGTTCCCTCTGTGATGCATTTCCTTAATCAACTCTAAAGGAAAACATATAGCCTACTAAAGTTCTTATTTAAAAAAATATATTTAAATTGATACTATGAGTGTAATGATTTCAATAGAATCGTTTTTTTCTCCATGATTCCAGTGCTTTTGTCTGCCCCCCTAAACTCCTGCAGCAGCATCTCACTCAGTTACACCCCTCCTCCCCCCATTGCACACAGACACAACGTGAGCGCGCACCACTGAGTTGGCAAAGTTTGACGCGCCAACTTTCACTGCACAGACGCGTCTGATAGAAACCAGAAAACTATTCGGGATATTTTCAGTGACTCAACAAAATGTATGTACGATAAGAAGTTCGGCGCCTGTAAGCTCATGTCTGGCCGTGAACGGAGCTATATCACCCCCCACCTGCACTTAATTGTTTCGGAGTTCTGCTCTCGGTTGCTGTGGGCGCGTAACTTTTTTAGACCAGGATAAAAACTGGGATTTATTTTGGGCACTTTGACAGGCGACTGGACATCGTGTGCGCCAGGCAGAGAAGTCAACAAGTGGCTCTCATTTACGGTTAGAGGAGAGAGAGTATGAGAGCTTGAAGTTGCTGAATGGAAAGTTAGTGGCTACTTTCTTCTTCGCAGGGTATTTAGAGTAACATTTAGTTTGAACCACTGGAAGTTGAGGAGGACATTTGTTCTTAAGGCGTTTACGAGTTTGTTATCACAATGAACGGACCAGTGGTTTTCCAGATGTGGACGGTTTTACTGTTGTGGACTATCACCGGGGTCTGCAGGGCTCAGGTCGCCACCGCCAAAGTGCTGAGAGGAAACATCAGGAGAGACGGTGAGTTCATTTTTAATTTGTTCTATATATTGTTGCTTGTGTGGTTAGTGTGTCTTTACTGCTAAGAGTCTCTACAACATGCATCAATGATATACTGTAGTAGTGAGCGTTTGTAGGATAATTATATAAGAGGTTTTGTTTCTACAGTATGTCAGTGTGTAAGTTATTGTACAGGCTACTTGAAGCCCTATAGTTTATAAAGCTTAGATTAGTTTTATGTATTCATTGGATCTATGTGTAGCCCTTTTATTTTCTTCCTAGCTTTAATACTGATTTGAAAAGATAAATGATATTTTAAGATATTTTATTGACAAATAGGAAATAATCTTCTTACAATTACGTATTGTCTTAGGGTGGTCAATAGCATTACTTAAAATATTCAGGATCAATTGTTTGTACAAGAGTATCAGCTAACTAGCATGTTTTGCTGTAGTGAATGATGCAAGACAGAGTGGAAATGCTGGTGAAAGAAGGAGACAATGTAAACGATGTAAAGTGGATACAAAAGAAAAGGCAAAGCAAAGTCTTTTAGATGACAAGCTGCTTCACATTTTCAGACTTCAAAACTAAAAAGGTAGCATTCATATCTCAGACAACTGTACTAAGATTGAGACTCCTGTCATCGGTGCAGTTTGAGTTTCTTGCATCAAGCTTTAGACTCCCTTAGCCTCTTGCCTATCTGACTTCCTGCAGGTGCGCCATGCTTACTTTTTACTTGGCCCTGAGGCTAAAGTTGCAGTGTTAACAGTACCTTTGAACACACCCACACACGTCACACACACACACAGCTGTAGGGTTGCTTTTGGCAGGGAAACATGAAAATACCACTGTATTAGGTTCTAACCTGGATGACTGCCCCTGAGGCCGGTCTCACCTCTCACTCCTTTGTGTGTGTGTGTGTGTGTGTGTGTGTGTGTGTGTGTGTGTGTGTGTGTGTGTGTGTGTGTGTGTGTGTGTGTGTGTGTGTGTGTGTGTGTGTGTGTGTGTGTGTGTGTGTGTGTGTGTGTGTGTGTGGGTGTGGGTGTTCATGCATTCATAACAAAATAATGAAATGGAGGTCATGACTTCCAGTCTTACTGTTAAAGTAGTAGCTCCGGATGAAATTCCTCAGAATTTTCTGAAGTTCAAATAATGTTTTGCTACTGCAGTTACCTTTGATCAATAATGTTATGAACCAAGTCAGCTATACCATGCATGTAATTAGCATAGAGTCTGACATGCTATGATATGTCATAATCTACAGATGTTGATTGCAACCTGCCAAATAACAGTTGTGGGTCTTTTCTAGTCACAACAGTATCTAAAGTTAGAGTACAAATCACACAATTGAAGCCGAAAGTGACAGCTGTGCTGCAGCACTTAATGTAAGACGGGATAAAAAAGCAACAAGTGATGACAAATAAACATCTAGTTACAAAATAAAAGTTGATACTGTTAGGAGACGACAGCTGCACTAACTATTTGGTGAAGGTTCAAAACACCAACAGGACAACAAGTCTCCTATCTAAAAAAGTATAAAGCAAAACATCTGAACTAAAGCAGAGTTAAAGCTCCAACATGGGTTTACAATTGTTAGAAATGATAATTGTTTTATTATTTATAGAGACAAATCTAAAGTGCATATCAATCTTAAAGAAAGTCTCCAAATTATTATCAGTTTTTTTGAACTTTCACAATAAAATCACCAGATTCAAATTATACACTGCTTCTCATTGTGTTTCAAACCCACACAAGGCCTTAAAGAAATACTTTTTTGTTATAAACACATAGTAACGTTTTATTAGTTTGGTTACTTTTGAACTTAAAGAGAGAAACTCACTGCAGCACATATAACTGAGCTGTTTACACTTGCCATCTGTCAAACTAATCCAAACTGAGGGAACTCTCTGTGATGATGTTGCCAGGAAATGATTGGTTTAGTGCACTCACTCAAGGAAAATATGGCCATTAACATCAGAGAAGAATTGTTCCTCACAAGCAGTGAAACTCATAGTTTTAAAGATGAGATGGTATTGTCTTCAACACTGCACTCTGCTTATTGTTCTCACAGAGTTTTCAAACCACCTTTATGTCCTGTTTCTAATATCACATCAGATTGCTTTTATCTGTGATCTCCTATGATCTTTAGTTGCACAAAGGCTATGAGTGGCTGTGATAGTTGCTATTGAGACAGACTGGTTGTTATATGCTGCACAGCCTTTAAAAATCGTTTTAATCCCCTGCAGTCTTACAAAAAATATACTGTGCTCAGAAGTTATCTTTACGTGTGTGTGTGTGTGTGTGTGTGTGTGTGTGTGTGTGTTTTTTTGCATTACCAGGCGGCTTATGCGGAATATGAGAGCTTAGTTCCGTTGTTTGATTGACTGCTGCTGATTAGCTTGGATTTCCGTGTGCAGGGGTGAACCTCAAGCTGATAGGGGCTCCGCAGCTTTCACTCAGCCATTTATCATTGTGGATGTGTGTGGGTACAGTGTAACTGTATGTGCAAGAGTGCTTTGACAGAATGTTCCCCCCAAGGTTTCTTCTGCTGTGTTTGTTCAAAGATGTACTTACTTTGTTCTTATAGCATTCAATCGTTTTTTTTGGGGGGGGACAGTGTGTTCTTGTAGCAAAGGAAATACACATTTATGCATATTTACATAAACCACAAAGTAAACAATACCTGGCCAACAATACCTTTAGTTACAAGTTTCAGGATTTTCCATTGGATTGATTTATTTTTACGACCAAGTACAGGGATGCTTGCATTATAAGTCACAATCAAGAACAGAAACTGTCAGCAGTCCTTCCTAATTAGCTACAATATACTATTTAGATTATGTATTATCTACATATATGGACACATGCCTTTCAAAGTTTAATTCCCTGGTACACTTAGGCTACACAGTGTTTCAAAATTCCAAGACCAAGATCCAGAGAAAGGTGTTGCACAACATTCTTTGTCTGAATGTGTGAAATACTTTTGAGATTTGAGTGCACTGTTATCTTTGTTTTTGTTTTGACCCTGTTGACTTTAAGATGAACTAAAGCTAAGCAGAAGTAGTACTCCCACAGTATATATTCTACACACTCGCATGCATTCGTGCAGTCTCAGCTCACAGAATAACGAAGTTCAGGTACACAAACATAATATATTTTAGAAAGGCTCCTGGCCTCTTTCTGATTCCTCTTCTTCTTTCTTCCAGTATTCTTATCTGTTGCCTTCCTCTCTCATTGCTGTCTTATCAGTCTTTGCCTCGCTACGTATCACTCCATCGCTCCAGATCCTCCTCTTTCAATCTCCCCCTTTCTCATTTCTTTCTTTATCTCCCCATCTCCCCCCCATCTGTTTCAGCTGTTTTTAATCAAAAGCTTTTTCACCCTGTCGGCTCTACGAACAAATATAATGCGGCAAACAGTTTCACAGACACGCACGTCAACACATCTACCTGCACAAGGCCAATACTTTTAGTCACCCTTTCTGAACCAACAGAAACGTTACCATCTATCATGGATACACTTAAAAGATTGACATTCACACTACTGTAGATAAAAGTGACAAAGAGAACTAAAGGAACAAGTATGTAAGTAATACACACATATATATATATATATATATATATATATATATATATATATGCAGACAAGTAATATATGATTGGCTGTGTTAACAAAAGCATGTATGTTCTCATACTGAGCTAAGCTAGGCGTTGGTGCTATCAGGCAGTGTGATGTCATGGTCCTTGACTGTGTCTGAAAACTCAAGGTGGCCCTGCCTCTAAAAACATACACCCTCACACATACATACATACATATAGTACATACACAAGGTCCATTTATTAACAGAGCTTTTGATCATATCAATAAATAAACGTATTATATCACACCACCTCTTAAATTTAAACTGAGACTTAATGGCAGACATTAAAGTATTGTTTCTCTGTGTTTTGAATTACATACTGTATATTTGCTCTTGGGATGTGTAGAGGGCCATCACCCTGGTCACTCCATCCAGCGACCTATGATTAATTGGAATCAATGAGTCACTCTCAGGCCACCGACATGGAAGTACTCTCCACCCGCCCACCCAGGCCGACAGACACAATTACAGGATCTCCCTTCCAAGGGAATCCCCAAATAAACAATGTCATCTCACATGCACACACACACTTTCCAAGCAAGGAACGGCATGAGCCAAACTTACCCCACCCCGAAACATTTGGCAGACAATGTTTTCTCCTGCAAAGAGGGAATAGGGGTGGTGACCACTTGGACAGGAAAGCAAAAAGTGAGATGATGCCTTGGAAATTAAATGGAGTTAGGGGGAAGCTCAGTTGTGCTCAGGTTTAAGGAGGAGAGGGCAGCAGGACAGAAGTGAAAGTTTAGAAGGGATCTTAGAAGAGTTAGAGGGCACAGAAGAAGAGGACAGGGAAAGGTGTTTTGAGAGAGATATGCCAAGTTGAAAGCCCTGTCCCTTCACTTTTCTGCCCTGTCAGCTCAGAATGAGAGATAGTAAGACCAACGGCAAGCCAAATGGACAGAGTATAAAAGAGGAAATGGAAGAAAGCATCACTGATAGAGGAGTGGAGGGGAGGAAAGATAAGGTATTTCTGGAGAGGGAGAGCGGACAGAGTCTAGTGCCGAACATCAGCAGATTATCTGATCTCCGTATCTGATCAAAGCTTAAAGCATAAAGAAAAAAGCAGGAAAAAAGAGGGCATGACCACAGCTCTATCAGCAAGCATTACTGCGCCACTGATGTATGCCCCAGACTGGGGAGGGTCAGGCTACATGTGTGCACACCCAGAGAAGTGGAAACATAATTAAGCTTCTTCACCTCATGCCCCAAATGTGATTGTACAATAGAACAATGAATTCCTCAAGATTATCCAAATACACAGCAGATCCTTATTCAGGAAAACTTTGAATCTTTAATGCTGAAGAAGTTAATTAATCTAAAGCCATCATCAAGTGTTTTCTCCTAGAATAATTATTATAATAAGGAGTTATCGATAGAATGA